TGTGGTTGGGCCTGTAGTTATTACCTGTTATTATCTGTAGTTATTACCTGTTATTATCTGTAGTTATTACCTGTTATTATCTGTAGTAACTGTAGTTGTTACTAGAAACCTAGGTGAATGTCAGTTTATGGATTATTATCTACAGCATATAAGATCTAGCTGGTTATGTGTGGCAACTGGTTTGTTTTTATCTTGTTCAGGCAATGTACCCTTCATTCTTGATCCTAACGGTCTGTGGCAGAGCCAGACCTTTTGGCTCATTGTTTTCATTGCAGTGAAAAGTTGGCAGGATTTGAAAAGGAGGCTGTCTGACCTCTGTACCTTCCTTCCTTTCATCTTGTGTTGCTCCGGGGACTGAGACTACATTAGTTTTCTCTAACTAGTACAGCATCCTGAATATTGGAATGTAAATCTTTTTCTTAGGAATGGGGTTGTTTTTTTTTTTCAAGTATTGTAGCCATTTGTATTTACCTGGATCTTAGATTTGTCTCTCTTTTTGGGTTTGTTGTAATTATTAAAATATGGACGTTTAACTTATTTGTAACAATTTTTAATCTGCACCGACTTAAATGGTAAATGGACCGTACTTATATAGCACCTTTCTATCTTGTCAAGACACTCAAAGCGCTTTACACTACACTCTGTACCTTCATTTACCCATTCATACAGCATTCTACTATGTGTACACAAAGAATAATCAGTGCTTTATCACATTCATACACTGATGGGACACACATCAGAGGGACACTTGGGGATACTGCTGGTGGGATCGAACACCAACTCTTGCATTGGAGGACGACTGCTCCAACCACTCAGCCACAGCCGCCCAGACTTAGTAACAGAAAGTAAAATACAGTTTGCAATAAATATTTTTATTTTATTTTAAATCTTTGAAACAAAAACTCTTTCAATATGGCGAATTTATTTTATTAAAAAACGTTTGGTGGACCATTCAATTCAATTCAGTTCAATTTATTTTATTTATATAGTGCCAAGTCAAAACAGAAGTCATTTCAGGGCACTACAAAAGCATTCACAGACAGTGTAAAAGCCAGTTAGTAAAATATTTGGATGCATACACAATAATCCAGGTAGAAAAATCTAAATCTGATGCTTGGTTTTGTTGGCCCAGTCAGAGGGGTTCAGGACCCCCTCCGCTGTACAGAGTCACACCTCCTAGTGGGGCTTGGTATGTTCTTTTTCTAAAACAAATCATGATCACCCTCTTCATCAGCAAAAGCCCTATTTGCACAGGATTAGTTTTACCTAGGGACCACATGCTATATGTAATCATTATTTTCTGTGTTGTTAATCCTGTTCGAATCGGCCATGCAAGTAATTTGTAAAGTTAAAATTCCCCCGCAAATTACCTACTATATTTTGCTGAACTCCGAGGTCCTGTGATAATACTAATTCAATGTAAATAGTCATCTCTGTGATTTGGACTGAAATGGGCGGAATCTGACATGTAATGAGTTTTTTTTTAAATTAATTAATTATTATTATTATTATTATTTTTTAAGCAAAATAATTTGGGAAAATACAAAACAAGGCTATTTCAAATGAACGCGCTGCTCGTGTCGACTTTTTTTAATGTATTTTTTTTTCGCTTCAGCTTTTATGCTGCTACTTCCTTCATCACAGATGCCAGCAGGTGCATGATCAATGACCCATCCATCCATCCATCCATCCATCCATCCATCCATCC